GAAGCGGTAAATATGCCATTACCCCGAGTGCTTAAAAAGTTAAGGTTTAAACGTGGTAGGCCATCTAAAATGCGTTTGATTTTTGACAGAAATGTCAAAAAAATATTGAAATAATGTTTGAATTTGATATTAAAATTGTTGAAATGGAGTAGTGTGCTTCCCTAGAAGTAAGAAAAACTGCTACAAAAGCAATTGAAAACTAATTTAGCGTAACTTGTCAATTTGGAAGAAAGAATTCCTGGTATTTTTGTAATCTTAAAGTTKGCAATCCTGTATGTTATTACCCAAGAGAAGTAATGAGATATAATGACGTGCTTTCCAACCTTTAAAAGGTTAGTAATCGGCATATTACATTAGTAGTGATTGTGGATTATACTTTGAAAATATGTGTATTGAAGTCAAATCAATTTGAAATTTCTCAAAAATGTTTCGATGTTTTAGAGAATGTCAAAGTTTGATTCAAGAATTAAACAATGCAACTATAAATAGATGTAGAGTACTGAGATAACAATGATAACAAAAAAAAAACGTTGTATGTTCTACATGCTTAAGTGAAGAATAAAGTGGCCTATGACTCTGAAATTAAATTGGCAACATTGAAAACCACACCGACAGAAGATTAACAAGTTTATAACATCTACATTATTCAGTGTTGCCAAATTAATTTCAAAGTCACAAGCGAAGGCGAAGAAATATGAAAAGTGATAAAATATAATATAAATTTCTAGTTCGCTTRGTAGAAAACTTATTTTACTTGTATTATTGTCACTCATTTCATTATTRTACAGGCTGYGCTAGAACTCGCCAGGAACATGGAAAAAATGTTAAAAAAAATCTATCTATGTATAAAAATTTCGAAGTTATGAGAGTTTAAATTTTGCAGTTTAACTCTATTTATAAATAATTTTCCAAGTTTTTTTGCTACAGATTATTAAAAGAGGAAACAAGGAAGCTGTATCCTAAATTGTAACTCTGTTCAGGCTTTTATTGGCAAAATTTTTGTCCCTTTACTACATAATTGTAAAAAAACACATATACAAGATCATCGGTGTCATTAAATAGACATAAAAAAAATGTCAAATGTCAAAAAATTAATGTAAAAATTTGTTGACAGATAGAATTTTTTAAACATTTTTTCCATGTTCCTGGTACCTTATAGTACTTAAAGTTTTTCTCTATTTTGAAGTATGAAATAACTTACCTATGTTAGTTTTTTATAGATAAGAAAAAGAATAAAATTTTTCTTTGTCAGAAGAGTTAGAACTATTGACAAAATTCAATTATTAAAATCAATTTTGCAAGAGACACGTTTTATTCAAAAACGTTGTTATCAGTGCACAAAATCTCTATTTTTAGCAACCTTTTTTCCATATCATTTTCTAAAACTTTTAGTCATTTAAATAAAAAAATATATTCTTTGGTAGTACCTTTTTGAGTAAATAATCTAAAATTATAACGCAAATCATGCAGTTTTTATATTTGATTTATTTACTTATTAATCCATAAAATATCTGATACGAGAACCGTCTTATTAATTGATTTGATTATTTTGTAAAAATCACTAAACTGTTGTGAGSAATTTGAGCCAACATAGTTTCGGTGCKATAATATAGAGTATCTTGGCTAGTGTTCCAAGTTTTYCTTATCTTAATAGGTTATTAAATCGTTTTTGACTTGGGCGGCCGTTCYCTATCGCCGTCACATTACATTATCCCCTTTTCGTTCTGAATTTTATCATTTCAAATCGCGCATTGTGTAATATGTTTACAAACGGGCGATAAATCTCTAAAAATGTAACACAAAATAACTCTAGTTTTAGTTTAACGAAAATTGATTTTAAATCGCTGGCACTTGAGTGTGCTTATTTCAACTGCATTTTTTAATTTTGCTAAGAGCAAACAAAATCCGTGATACCTAATCTCATTTTTCCGCCCTGAAATGATGCAATCGTCGCAAAAATTCCCATTAAGTGGCATTTATCCACGCCCATATCGCCCATCGAATCTAAATTCCGGTGACAGTGAGCGATTTGCTTATTCTAAAGTACAGTGTAATGCATTTAGAATTGTAGACCGGCCATTAGATTAGATTCGACAA